TCCTGCACGTCTCTGGACCAGGCCCGAGGATCAAGCCTGCCAAGGTATGTGCCCTTGACCAGAATCAAACCTGGGACCCTTCAGTCCTTGGGCCGATGCTCTATCCACTGAACCAAACCAGCTAGGGCTATCATTATTTGTAGATAAGACTGTATAGCTAGAAAACCCAAGCAAACCAAGTGAAAAATTACTATAAAGAAGATAATTCAGTAAGGTAGCAGGATATAAAATCCTATATAATAAAAGGCTAATATGCAAATGGACCAAATGGTGGAACTGGCCACTATGATGCACACTGACCACCAGGGGGCAAACGCTCAATGCAGGAGCTGCCCCATGGTGGTCAGTGCGCTCCCACAGGGGAAGCACTGCTCAGCCAGAAGCCAGGCTCACTGCTGGTAAGCGCAGTGGCGGTGGTGGGAGCCTTTCCTGCCTCCGCAGCAGCACTAAGCCGGCACTCGGACATCCCCCAAGGGCTCCTGGACTGCGAGAGGGTGCAGGCGGGCTGAGGGGAACGCCCCCCTCACCGAGTGGATGATTTCATGCACCAGGCCTCTAGTTAATATATAAGAATCGTGGAAGAGAAGGCTCCATTTATTAGAGCCACAAAAAAGATAAAATGCTATCTTCATCTCCTGGGGCTGCTGTAACAGAATACCATAGACTGGGTGGCTTATAAACAACAGAAATTTATTTCTCACAGTTCTAGGGGCTAGGAAGTCCAAAATCAAGGTGTCAGCAGATCCACTGTCTGTTGAGAGCCTGCTTCCTGGTTCACAGACTGCCTTCTTCTAGCTGTGTTCTCACATGGTGGAAAGGGCTAGAGAGCTCTCTGGGAACTCTTCTATAAGGGCACTAATCCCATTCATGAAGGCTTCACTCTCAATACCTAATCCCCTCACAAAAGGCCCACCAATTACTATCACATTGGAGATTAGATTTCAACATATGAATTTTGGGGGCACACATTCAGTTTATAGCAAATACCTAAAAACAAACTTAACAAGAAATGTCCAAAATCTTTAAGAGGAAACATTTATAAAACTCTGAAGGGACAAATGGAAAGGCATTTCACATTCTTTTTTTTAAGGGATTATAAATTTATTAGGTCATCTGGAAAACCAAATGGGCTGAGCCTCAAAATAGCGCCTGCCATTTCACATTCTTAAATAGGAAACCTCAAAATTATGAAGATGTCAAAATAATTTAGAAATTTAATATAAGCTCATTAAAAATATCACTTTTTTCTTTTCTGAAACTAGACAAGCTGAATTCAAGTTCAAATGGAAACATAACAAGTAAGCACAGCCAGAATATTTCTGAAAAGGAAGAACAATGATGGGGGACTATTGCCACAATATGCTATGTAAAACAAAACAAAACACAGAAAACAAATATTTATGTAACTTATCGAGTCAATGGGTCACCTAGGAGGGTCTACAATCTGGATCAGGCTCTGTTGATCCCAAGTGGCTAGCTCATGACTTGGTGGCCTGGCTGGAGGTTGGCTGCTATAGGACGCCTTGGCTGGGAGGACCAGGCTCATTTCTACATGTGTCTCCCATCCCTCCAGCAGGCTAGCCTGGGTATGTTCTCATAGCAGTGGCAGGGGTCCAAGAGAGGAAGCAGAATATGCAAGAGCTTTTTCAAATCTCTGCTTATAGTTTGATACTATTTTGTTGGTTAAAGCAAGTTATATGGTCAAATTCAGAGTCAGTATGGGAAGGAATTACCAAAGGGTATGGATACTGAGACACATGAAAAATTAGGGTCATTTCGTCTGGGCAAAACTTTAAACTCTTAATAAAGAACACAGCCCTAGCTGGTTTGGCTCAGTGGATACAGCATTGGCCTGCAGACTGAAGGATCCTGGGTTTGATTCCTATCAAGGGTACATGCCCGGGTTGTGGGCTCGATCTCCAGTAGGGGGCGTGCAGGAGGCAGCCAATCAATGATTCTCTCTCATCATTGATGTTTCTCTCTCTCTTTCTCCCTTTCCCTTCCTCTTTGAAATCAACAAAAATATATTTAAAAAGAAAACACAGATAGAAGGTGAACTGAACAATAAAGAGCTATTCCATGTCCTTGGATGGGATGAGTTAATATTTTGATGATGTTAAATCCCCCAAATTAATCTATAAATTCAGTGCAATCCTAACCAATGTTCCAGTTGGATTTTTGAAGAGATTGAAAAATTTTCTCAAATTTATGTGAAGATGTCACCAAGACAAGCCTAAAAGACTAAAGAGGAGGGACTTGCCCTATCAGATGTTAAGATACAGACAATCCAGTGGTGAAGGCCTGGAGCGGGGGGCAGGGCGGGATCTGGGTGGAGGGGGGCAATGGGGGAAAGGGGGAAAGATTTGTAATACTCTCAGCAATAAAGATTTAAATAAAATAAAATCGAGGTAGAAAAAGTCGACAAAATAAACTGAGGAATGGTCAGAGATATGAGGCAAGTAAGGAAAGTGATATCACAGTAGACAAAGAAAGATGTTACAGAGAATATACTCAAGAATGGCAGATATACTGAGGTCCAGTAAGATGAGAATGAAAAGGAAATTCCATGGCTGCTAACATCACAAAAGGAGGGACATCTATACACTCTGAGCCTCTTTTTAAAAAAAAATATTTTTTTATTGATTTCAGTGAGGAAGGGAGAGGAAGAGAGAGAATCATTGATCGGCTGCCTCCCACACGTCCCCCACTGGGGATCAAGCCCACAACCCAGGCATGTGCCCTTGACTGGAATCGAACCCAGGACCCTTCAGTCCGCAGGCTGACGCTCTATCCACTGAGTCAAACCGGCCAGGGCCTATGAGCCTCTTGATGAGAGAACACACCAAAACCTATGAAGTGGTCATGAAAACAAAGCAAAAACCTGAATCTGATCAAGCCTCTAGATCAGGGGTGGGGAATGCCTGGCCCGAGGGCTATAGATATCATTTGGTCTGGCACTGCCAAGGCATTAGGGGTGAGTTAATTAAATGCTTGACCAAATATAGCAGGCTAATTTTTTAAAATATATTTTTATTAATTTCAGAGAGGAAGAAAGAGGGAGAGAGAGATAGAAACATCAATAATGAGAGAGAATCATTGATTGGCTGCCTCCTAGCAGGCTAATTTTTAAGTGGATAATTTTGCATGGCCCAATAATGATGTTATAAATATCTAAATGGCCCTTGGCAGAAAAAAGGTTCCCCACCCCAGTTCTAGATACTAACTTACAAGTAATATATATATATATATATGTGTGTGTGTATATATATATATATATATATAAGACCAAGGAACTTTTTAAACTATAACAGAATGATGAAAAATCCGCACAGTGGAAAACTCTGCAGGACAATGTGTTTTTTTCCACAATTAAACTGATCAGGTGGGGAGGGAGGGAGATTTAGAGATTAAAAGAGACATAAAAGACATAGCAACTAATCTCTCTGTATAGCCCTTATCTTTGGATTCTGTTTCAAAGTGTTAAAAAAAGTATGACATTTGAAACACACACACACACACACACACACACACACACACAGATACATTACAAAGTAAAAACAAGGTGGTGTAAGTGCAAGAACACAAACAGACCTGTGTGTGTGTTTCATAATCCTATATAATAAAAGCCTAATATGCTAAGTGTCCAACCATTCAACCAGTCACTATGATGTGCACTGACCACCAGGGGGCAGATGCTCTGACCAGTAGATTAGCTTGCTGCTAGGGTCAGCCGATCTGGACTGGGTGAGAGGGGCTGGACACGCCCTGGAGCCCTCCTGCAGTCCCTCCCCGACCTCGAATCGTGCACAAGTGGGGTCCCTCAGCCTGGCCTGCGCCCTCTTGCAATCTGGGACCCCTTGGGGGATGTCAGAGAGCCTGTTTCCGCTCCATCACCGCAGGCCAGGCCAAGGGACCCCAACAGTGCACTTGCACCAGGCTTCTAGTATATGATAAAGGTGGTATGGCAAATCAACAAAAAAGGAAGTACTGTTTAGTATTTGTTGGTAGGAAATGTGGCTCAGTGTGTGGAAACAATAAAATTGTATCCTCACCTATCACCACATATGAGAGTAGATTCTAGATGGATTAAAAACCAAAAGGTGAAAGGTAAACTCTAAAGTTAATAGATAAAATTAGGCGAACATCTTTGTGACCCAGGAAGAGGGAACTACTTTTTAAATAAAATTGCCCAAACCAGAAACCATAGATCAGCGGCTTCATAAAAACATTTTATGAATTTGAATACAATAAAATTAACAATTTTCTTTCTTTTTCTTAACAATTTCTTTTCAAAGAAGTGTATCATGGGTAAAGTTAAAAGAGGGAGACAATATTCACAATGTCTGAAACTGACGGGACTAATAGCTGGACTATATAAGGAACTCTAGCAAATCAACAGGAAAGAGGGACCCCAATAGAAAAAAATGGGCCAACTATACAATCAGGCAATTTATACAGAGGTGTTTAACATGCATATGAAGAGATGCTCAAAAATTCATTAGTAATTAGAGAAATGCAAACTAAAACAAAATATCACTTTATACCTGTTAGACTGGCAAAAACTAGAAATCTGGAAGATGTCAAGTGTTAGTGAGGATGTAGAGGTACAGGAATCCTTGTACACTGATGGTAAAACTGGACTGGTGTAGCCATCTCAGAGAACCATCTAGCAGTATTAGTGTTCTTAGTCAGACTAAGTATGTGTACACTTTTTAAAAACATATTTTTATTGATTTCAGAGAGGAAGGCAGAGGGTGAGAGAGATAGAAACATCAATGATGAGAGAGAATCATTGATCAGCTGTCTCCTGCACGCCCCTACTGGGGATGGAGCCCACAACCCAGGGGAGGGTCCCTTAACCAGAATCGAACCTGGGATCCTTCAGTCCACAGGCCAAACCAGCTAGGGCTGTGCATACTTTATGATGCAATCATTCTTTTCATGGGTATATGTGCCGAAGGAAATTCTCATATAGGCCACTAAGGGGACACGAACAAGACTTTGCATCACAGTATTATTTATTTGTGGTATCTGGGAGCTAGAAGTAATCCTGCTGTCAGTCATTATGGAAATTCAGGGACAATGTGGTGAAGGCACACTGGTTAGCATGAGCAGCCAGGAGCAATAGATTAGATGTATGCATAGCAATGTGGACAGACTTGAAAACACATGGCTGAATGAAAAAAGTGAGAAACATAATGAGATACCATTTATATAAAATACAATTGCACACACACAAAGCATCCTTCACCGTGGGACAACCTGATCTTATGTGTCTCTGAGGGGATATAGTATGAAGTAAACAATATCCTCTATGTACTGTTATTGCTGAAAATATTTAATCTGAATCTAATCATGTGGAAAGAGCAGATAAATCCAGAATGGGGGACAGTTTACAAAAAAACTTGTCAAAAATATCAGTGTAGCCTTAGCCAGTGTTGCTCAGTGGATAGAGTGTCGGCCCTCAGACTGAAGGGTCCTGGGTTTGATTCTGGTCAAGGGCATGTACCTTGGTTGCAGGCTTGGTCCTCAGTAGGGGGCATTCAGGGGGCAGCTGATAGATGTTTCTCTCTCATTGATATTTCTAATTCTCTATCCCTCTCCCTTCCTCTCTGTAAAAATCAATAAGATATATTTGAAAAAAAATAAGTGTAATATAAAACACACAAAAAATACAGGGGTATTGTTCTAGATTGAAAAGGTTAAAGCAATACAACCACCACACATAATGCATAAACCTTGATTAGATCATTGGATTAAAAATAAGAGCAGGTCTAAAAACATTTTGGGTACAACTGGAAAATTTGAATATAGGGCATTTTTTATTGTATTATTGAATTGTTGTTGTATTTTCTTAGGTGTAGTAATGGTATTGTGTTTATGTAGGAGAATGTCCTTATTCTAATAGATGTGTGCTGAAGAATTTAGGGGTGAAGTGTTATACTGCCTGCAACTTTCAATTGGTTCATTAAAAAGGAAATGTATACATACACATATCAATAGAAGTAGAGCAAATTTTGCAAAATATTAAGGGTAAATGGGTTTTCATTGTATTATTCTATCAGCTGTTCTGAATTTCGAAAAATTGAAAAATAAAAATTTGGGGGAAATACTTGCACATAAAACAACAGTGCATATTTTGCAAGAACACATATACACAAAAGAGAAGCATAATATACTTTAGAATGATTGCGCACATTAGGGAAATAAGAGTGGAAAGTAGAGATGAACATGAATTAAACAAAGAGCAAAAACCTCCCTAAAGTAATAGATATTCATTGAATATGTGAAAACACAGAAAGGCACAATGAAAAAAAAAATGAAATTCACTGATATTCTCATTTTCTCTGTCAGTAGTTCTTAAAAGGTAGCACCTGGACTAGCAGCAGCAGCTTCATCACCATCACCATCACTATCACCATTATCATCATCACTTGTGAACTTGTTAGAAATGCAAATTCCTAAGCCCTATACCAGACGTACCAAAATACAACTCTGGCTCTGGGGCCCAGCAATTGGTATTTTCACAAGCCCGGTGATTCTGCTACTGGCCAAAATTTGAGGACCAGTGATCTAGATTTAACCACTGTTAATTTTGTTGTAGATCCTTGTAGCCTTCCTAAAAATATTATGAAATCTTTTAGGCATGCAAATAAGTATATAGAATAATCTAAGACACACCCATCTACCTACTACCCAGATAAACTATTAGACAAATAGTTCCTTTGTTTTCTACCCCAGAGATAATCACTATTCTATATTTGGTATTTACTTCCCTTGTTTTAAAAACATTGTTTATAGTTTTATGTAATCTATAAACAACAGTGCATTATTTTCTAGATTTAAAAATCTACACGAATAAATGGTCTCATACTTCATGTATCCTTTTACAACTTGTATTTTATTTCTGCATTGTGTTTTTGAAATTTATCTGGGTTGATACATGCAACACTGGTTCACTTTTCATTGCTGTATAGTATTCCATTATAGGCTGTACCACTATTTTTTTTTTCATTCTCCTGTTGAACTTTTAGATTGTTCATATATTTTCTCTATTACAAACAGCTCTGCAATGAATATCCTTGCACATACCTCCTGTGTATATGTATAAGAATTTCTCTAGGATGTAAAAGTCTAGGGGATGGATATACATTTATATACACACACACATATACATCTATGATAGTGGAATTGCTGGGTCCCAGGGCCATCTTCAACTACTCCGGATACTTCCTAATTGTTTTCCAAAGTAGTAAAACCAATTTTCACTTCTATCAAATATTTCATTATAATTTTTTTCCTTATAGTTTGTTCATTTGAAACTTTGTTTAAAAAGTCCATACCTGGGCTCTGGCTGGGTAGCTCATTTGGTTAGAGTGTTGTCCAGATACACCAAGGTTGCAGGTTCCATCCCGGGTCAGGGCACATACAAAAATCAACCAATGAATGCATAAATAAGTGGAACAACAAATCGATATTTTTTTCTCTCTCCCCCTCTAAAATCAATTTTAGAAAAAGCCCATACCTGTCCTAGGTTACAAAAATATTTCCCACCCTCTTATGGGGAAATAAGTAGGTACCCAGTTTTATTTTTCTCCTTATGGCGAGCCAAATTTCCCAATGCTATCTACCAAAATGTCCATTCCCCATTGATTTGTGGTACAGGCCTAAAATTTCACCCATTTAACAAACATTTGCCCAAGCCTACTTGTATCAGTCTTGTTGAGGGTTCGAAGATATGGCCCATAGTCTGTTGAGATATATCCAAGTAAACAATAACAGTACTAAGTGATATGTAAGACAAAGTGTTCTGGGTTTCTAACTCAGCTGGGGAAGTTCTTAGACGTGACAAGGGTCGGGTATTAAAGAAACAGCAAGGATTTGCTAATGCTGGGGTAAAGGTGAAGGTGACCAGGGTTGGTTTGGGGTCCAAAGAGTTTTGTGTGTGTCTAGGGTGAGATTAGAACCCTTCCATGATGTAGGGTAGGGGTGGGGAACGTCCAGTCAGCCAGCCCTATAAGGCCCTCGAAATCATTTGGTCTGGGCATTAGGGGTGAGTTAATTAAATGTTTGACCAAATACAGCAGGTTAATTTTTATGTTGATAATTTTGTATGGCCCTTGAATGATGTTATAAATATTCAAATGGCCCTTAGCAGGAAAAGGTTTCCCACCCCTGCTAGGGGCAGTGAGTCCTTTGTGTGTAAGGAGTAGGACTAGGTGGAGGTGGAGGAACATATCCTGGGGTAAAGGGGCTTGGCCCCACCCCAAAGTTTAGGCTACAGGAAGAGGGGGGGGCTGCAATAAAATGGTCAGAAGACATTTTCAGACTGCTATTTACATATTTTAGGGGGGACATTCTCCAGCCAGGTCAGGAGCTCCTCTAGAGAGAGTTTCTGGAGAAACCCTAACCTGCCCCCACTCGAGATAGAAATTAATGAATTCTGCAGACACGGCTCCGGGGTCTGAGGGAAGCGGGGGAAGGGGAGGAAGAGGGCAAACGGGTGGGAGAGGCTTTTCGAATTGTTTGGCTCTTGGGCCTGACCATGGATCTTAGCTTTTGCAGAGGGAGCTGGCAATGGCTGCCAACGGGTTTGTCCGGGCCCTACAAGTCTGGAAGGTTGCTGAAAACAGCTAACCAAGTCGCTCCAGGTGGGGAATACTCGGGAAGACATGTGACTCAGGCGGCCATTTTCTCACACCCTGCCCATCGCCATCTTCCACTGTAGACAAAGGCACGGCTCTCCACCCTCGTCTGATGCGGTCCTGGTTCTTGCCTGGCCTTCACGTTTCGGAGACACGCGTCTCTGGCCTCGGCCGAGGACCGCGGGGAAAATCTGGGCTTCCAAGTTCGTTAGGTGACCACACCAGTCCAGCCGCCGCTAGCCCCTCCCGCCGTCCCCTTCCGCATCCCCTCCTCCCTCCTCCCCCTCAGCCTGTTTCCTTTCCTTTCGGAGCAGCCGGAGGGCGGGGCCATCGCGGCCGCGGGGAAGGGACGGGCGGGCGCGAGCTGTCAATCCGAAGCTCCGCCCCTCGCAGCGTACGGCGGGCGGGGCTGGAGCCGGGAGCCTGGGAACCGGAAGTCGGAGCCCAGCG